TACATACATACATACATACATACATACATTCATACACACATACACACATACACACATACACACATACATACATACATACATACATACATACATACATACATATATACATACATATGTCCTGGCCTCCCGCATTCAGGAAAAGTAGCCATCCAAAACGACATATTTCCTTTCTTCCAATTCTTGAGCCTCAGAATGACGTGCATGTTGGGCTTAGGGTTTCATGGCGCAACCATAGCCAGTCGATGATACATGTATGTGAAGCTTTTTGGGTTTGGGGGTTTGAGGGTGTCGGGTGTCGGGCTTTGGGTGCAGATCATAGGGTGAAATGGTTTTGGGTTTGGGGTTTCGGGNNTGGAGCAGAGGCCCTAAACCCTAAACCCGAAACCCTCAAGCGTGCTTCGTCTTTCGTCTAGGGTGTCGGCTCTGGGATTTGGGGCCTGCCGACGGCTAGGGGTGTGGAACACCCTAAGATCCTAAACATTATCCCAAGGCTAATGTAGGGGCCTTAATAATTATCTATACTATTATATATTCATAGTATAATATACCCCACAAGCCCTATTCCAATTATTAAGGCCCCTACATTACACCTTCAAATCCCGACCACGACTCCTAGACCCTCTCACGCATGAACAGCTTTCAGAACATGGGAAGACCATACTTATTTCGGGGCCTTGATAAATAGAATAGGGTTTTGGTGCCCATTATTCTGCAATTTTAATCAGGAGCCCCCCCAAAGAATAGTATCAGTAATTATTTAGGCCCCTACACTAAACCCTAAACCCTAAACCCTAAATCCTAAACCCTAAACCCTAAACCCTAAATCCTACAAATCCTATAAACCCTAAACCCTAAACCCTAAACCCTTTATTACAGAATCCCCCCGAAAAAAGGCTCCTGAGTTGAAGCCTCGTCCCGTGTATTTGGGTTCGGGGCCGGAGCTGCGAAGCCGTCAGAACCCTTCAAGCCCAGAAGACTCTAATGTAGAGTTTAGGGTTTAGGGTTTAGGGTGTAGGGTTTAGGGTTTAGGAGCCTTAATAATTAGAATAGGGTTTGGGGGTCCTTTATAACTTTTTTCATAATAGGCAACCCCCCAAAAAAATAGTAGAGGTAATTCTTTAGGCTCCTATATTATTCAAGCACACTTTGGGCTTAAGGGTTGAAGATTTAGGAAGAGAGCCTGTTCAGGGCTCGAGTTTGGGGTTCTACTGGGTGGCAAACCCTGGCAAAAGGTGTCCATCTCCGCCGCCCTCAGTGCGTGCAGTACGGCTACGAGGTGGAACTTCAGGGAGACTAGCCGGGTTTCGATATTTATCCCGACCCCAAACCCTGAACTCCACATCTACAGAAAACCCGACTCTAAGATCAGAGATCATAGCAAGACGACAGCAGAAGCCCAACATTTACAACCCTAAACCGTGCATCCGACGCCCTAGACCTGGAGCCCTTCAACGCGCAAAGGGGCCTTAGGCTTCTGGACGGGGCGCCTTTGCTCTGCATCTTTAAGATGCTCAAAACCTAAACACCCAAACAATCGATCAATATCCTGAACCCCCCCAAAGCCCCAGATGCTTTAGAACCAGCTTCGGGGAAAAAAGAAACCCTAAACCCTAAACACTAAAGCCAATTCCACTTGTTGAGGCCAATACAGAAGCTTGAGCCCCATTCTGAGTCGCAGCCCGCAGGTGGGAGAAGGCTCTGGCGCTCTTCGCCGCTTCGACAGCAGGGATTCGCGGTTCAGGGTTGAGGGGTTTAGGGGTTTAGGGGTTTAGGGGTTTAGGGGTTTAGGGGTTTGGGGTTTAGGGTTTATGGGGTTTCGGAAATTTGATAATTCCGGCTAGCTCCAGAGTCAAAGCATCTATGTGCCGAGCTTGCTCAGAAACACACCCCATGTGTCCGGGATTCACCATAAACCCTTACCCAAAACCCTAAACCCCAGACCCTAAATACTGTAAGCTCTGAACCCTAAAAGGCCCTAAACCCCGAAACCGAAATCGTAGCTGGTGGATGGTCCTGTGGGATTTGGAGTTTAAGTGCTTCCGACTTTTTTAGGGTCGATGGTTGAAGGAATTCCGCGACAATTGCACATGTCTCCGGCAAGCCGCCAGCTCTAAACCGAAAGACCGTAGATCCCCAAGCCCTGAGTCACCCAAAACCCTAGGACCATAGGATCCCCCCCCACACCACGCAGCCCTAAACCCCTAAACCCTAGAGCTCGAAAGCTCCAAACCCGGAAGACCGGGAAGGGCCCCAACTTCCAAGTCTCCTTGACCCTAAAGCCACTAAACTAGTTGGGCTTCATTGTAAGTGTGTTTATATGTCTCCTAGTTTGTGCTTTGGTGCCTTTTTGGGGGCCCTAGTAACTGTGAGAACCACCGGGCTGTTCATATGCCGAGGTTTCGATCTACAAAGCAGAAGCCACCCAAAAAGGTACTTTACTCTTGCCTGGGGAGAGATTGGGGCTGTGAAGCGCTCCGTAAAGAGAATCTCCGGCCCTGATTTCACGGATCCTTCTTGAGGTGTTTAGTTTGGGATTCAGGGTTCGGGTTTAGGGGAAAGTCCTGAGGAACGCGTAAGCGCATCTGTGAAGGTTCGATAACGCCACTGCATTAAAATATCCCAGCACCCCATCCTAAGTGTTCCGGCCACTATGTTTTAGGCTTCGAGATCTTCGGAAGCCAAGGTCGCGATGCCTGAGCTTCGGCAAGATCGAGACCTGGTCGCCTATTCTGCCGCCGGCTGGCCAGCATATCAGCGTTTAAGGGGGCTGTAAATCTATACATTAGGGGTTTAGAGTGTATGCTGACGGCCTTACATAGATGTTTGGGATATTAGGGGATTTTGGGATGTAGGGTTTTAGGCTTGGGGCTTGAGATGTAGGTTTGAGGGTTTAGGGGCTCCGGTACCTGACCGGCAAGGATGAGGTCCGGGATAATCGCTAGAAGATTTTGGGACGCATGGTTTTCATGTTGCGCGCAAGGATACCAGTGCTATATGACTTCAAAGATAAGGGCGTGAACCGTCAGTGGAAATCTTGCTTCTTCATACACCCTGAACGACCCCCAAAATTCCAAAACCCCAAACATCCCTGAGTCCTAAAATCCTACTTCCTAGCCGCTGGAACCCAGGCCTCCGATAAAGAGGCTCCCAGCAAACCCGGAACCCCGGACCTGTTACCCAAAATCCCAAGCCTTTACTCATCCGCAAAACGTAGGCCTGCAAAGCCTTAGGCCCCAACTTAACCCTAGATCCCAAAGCCTAACCGCATAAACTCCTCAATCCCCAAACTCTATATCCTAATCCTACCAACTCCCACCCCAGGACCCTAAACCACTAAACCCCCGAATCACAACAAAACCCTGAAGCCCCAAACCCGTGTCGATCCGTGGTAGACCCCTATGTAGAAGCCCAAAAGGTTAAGGAACCCTTGAAGAGAACAAACCCCCAGCTAAACCCTCAACACCCCAAGCCCTAAACCAAACCCCAAACCCTAAACTACTAAACCCTAAGCCCCAAATCCCTTAAGCTCTGCACTACAAATCTGCTAAACCCTGAACTCTAATCAACCCCATAGGCGATGGCGGCTCTCGATCGAAGGGGTCTTTGGGAGGAGGCTCTGGCACTCCTGGCGGAAGCTCTGCCTTGTTTTCCTGTTGTTATAAATAAATAATTAAATAAATAAATAAATAATAAATATAAATATAAATAAATATATATATATATATATAATATAAATCTTACCTACCTGTTGTGTCTTTAGGTTTTTCGGGGGGCTTAAAGTAGAGAGTTTGGGGTTCAAGCTTCATCTTTTTTGGGTTCGCAGGTGCGGAAGCGATAGGGGTTTTGGGAGCTCGGAGTTCCGAAAAAGGGATGCTTAGGTTTCAGGGCTTCTAGGGTTTTAATAGGGTTTTTATAGGGTTTATAGGGTTTTATGGGGTTTAGAGGGCTTTTATAGGATTTAGAGGAGTTAGAGGGTTTAGGCTTCTGCGGCTCAGGTCTATCTTCGTAGAGGCCGCTCAACTTGCCCTCATGGGATACGCGAGTTTCGAGTTTCAGGCCGCCGGTCCTCACTGAACCCTGAACCCT